TATTATTGCGGTCGTTTTCCTATTGTATACGTGTTGTAATTCTACTCTGTTTCCACACGCACATGGCTGTCTCGCTAAACACCGAGACTGATGGACCTATGGGGTCCTCGTTTAATGAGTTTACTGCAGCTTGCGGACAGGTTAACTGTTCAGAGCCAGTAACGGATGTATCTGGCAGTATGCAGTGTGACGTCTGCTGCCGCTGGTATCACGAAAGCTGTACCGGCCTACAAGCTGACCAGTACAAAATGCTATCATCGAGCGTTCACTTTCTTTTCAGCTGTGCTGAATGCCGCGCTCAAAGATCGACGCGCCCGGCTGTCACCGGTGCTAAACTTTCAGCGCTGGCTTTAAGGTTGGCAGATGTTGAGGAGGCGATAGCTAAACTCGCCTCTATTGCGTCGCTCGATACGAAAATGTTTGATTTTAAAACCCCTGAATCTTTCGTTTGAAGACACTGCAATAAACGGCAACATTGCTGACGATCCATCCACTGGAGTCTGTCCCTCGAGCATAAAGTCGCACATCCTGCCAGCCTTTCCAGTTAGCATTGCTGGCTGTCCTCATGAGCTGATAAAAGTGAAGAAAAACAGGGTGCGGAAACACCAAAAGCTTTCTGCTAAACCCAGAGAATTAGCTGCCACGGCATAGAAAAATATGCCGTCTTTGAATGTCGTAATGTCGTCTGACAATTGTACTCAGAACTTTCCGAAGATGCTGACCATCTCGGCCGCCAGTGAACCAGCACGTTCGGGCGAAGTGCTGGAACTGCGCAATGCGCTACGAAGTCAACGGCCCCTGCTCCAGTGAACCAGAAGAAGACGCGGACTAGATCTGCTCGTAAAACTTTGAAGAGGCTTGAAGCCCCAGGAACTAGTAAGACGCCGGCAATAGAGCGGAAAACCTACGATACCGCTGCTTCGGCGTCGTTTGGGAAGACAGGGACAGTCCCACCGCCAGTGGTGAAAACAGCTGGTATAGGTGTAGACTCCAATGCACGTACGGTAAACACTCCCCGTCGTGCCGGCTCTTTCACGGATAGTAGCGTTAGATTCCGTAACGTTACTAAACCTGCGTCCGCTCTCCCAAGGGAACGCATCGTGGATGATATCAAGTGGCTGAAACTACGTAACAGCAAGCTGCTTCCACCTGGCTTCCCTGGTGTCACTGTCAGAAAGCTGACCAGATTGGGGAACGTCCCTATCGCTACGCCAAACCCACGGCACCGACTACTTCGCGTAGTCCTTTCTACCCCGGAGAAACGCAAATCGTTACTGCGGTTTGCGTTCAAACTTAAGGATAGTGGTGTCAGCGTTCAGCCGAACCTACCACTGCCAGATAGATTGAAGTTCAAGGAGGCTATCAAAGACCTCAAAACTAGACGGGCGGCTGGTGAGCAAGGCCCCCGTCTGGTGGGTTCTCAGGTGGTCAGCCGGAAGTTACTTTCCGCCCCATCAGAACCCATCCTGATGGCGCGCGATCCAGGGATGGTCGTGCCGACTTCCTTTTGGTAGTACTTAGCAACGTGTGTAGCCTAAGGAACAGGGTGCAATAGTTGGGTCTACTTGTAGACAAATCTCGTCCCGACATACTTGCTTCCACTGAAACGTGGTTGTCTCCGGATATCACGGACGGTGAGGTATATTTACCTGGCTACGCGCTGCTTAGAACTGATCGCTCCGTTGGTCGCCAAGGCGGAGGCGTTGCACTGTAGGTGAGCTGTAAGTTAGATGTGTTGAGAACCTGCACATTCCAGTCATCGGATCAGCCTGTTGAAGCCTTGTCGGCCGTTTTGTGCACTTCCTCTTCCCAGTTTACAGTTATAGGGATATACAGAAGTCCTGGAAGTTCCTCCAGGGGATACTTGACTTCATTCGCACTCAGTCTGCGAATAAGTGTTTAGTTCTAGGGGATTTCAACCTCCGGGAAGTCTGTTGGGCTGATCTTTCTTGCAATTCGGCATTAGGAACATTCGGTGCAGACTTACATGAACTGACTCTCCAAGTGCCTTTGCACCAATTCGTTGACTTTTCCACTAGGTATATGGACAACTAAATACCATCTACTTTGGATTTTGTTTTCGCTAAATCCCTGGACTTCGTGACGGACGTTTCACACGGTGCACCTCTAGGGTCCAGCGATCACGCATGCATATCCTTACGATGTGCCCTTTCAAAGCACCAACAGATCGCTGTAGAATAACTTCCGGATATTTGGCGGGCGGACTTTAGTGCAATGGGAGCTGAGGCTTCAGTTCAGAGCTGTGAGATCTGGATGTCTCACTCTGTCCAGTTAGCTTGGGATAAATTTAAGGCTACCTTACGGAGGTTTCCACTCCCTGTATTCCTCTCATTAGGAAAAGAGGGTTAAGGGCACAACCTCCACGGATAGATACCACAGACAAGTACCTACCCAAGAAACGGTCTAAATGCTGGCGAATCTACCAAGTAGCTCCATCAGCCAGCGCCTATGATAGTTATCGAGAGACTAGAAATACATGTAAGCAACATCTCAGAACTGCTCGTCTCCCATTCGAGCAGGGTTTAGCGGACTCGGCCGCAGCTAATCCCAAGCAGTTTTTTGCTTAAGTTAAAAGACGCAGTAAGGCAAAACTGTGTCTACCAGCTTTGTTGCGAGCATACAGGACCCGTGCGCAAACTGACTATGACAAGGCTTTTATACTGAGTGATCAGTATACTGGTGTCTTTGCTCGGGAGACAGGTTTAATTGGTTTCAAGAGTTCCAGAGGATTCTTGCTTAGCCGAATTTAGCATAACGGAGACTCAGGTCTTCGAGCTATGGCAAGGCATTAATCCCTCTAAAGCTTCCGGTCCTGATTCAATTCATCCGAAACTGTTGCATGAGTTGGCCACTGAGCTGAGTTGTCCGCTCACATGCGTGCTTTCAGTATCACTGGATAGCTGCATTCTACCTTCGGAATGGAAGGGGGCAATCATCTGTCCGATTTTTAATGGCGGTGACAGCGCTCTTCCCGCGAACTGCCGGCCTGTCAATTGACGAGCGTAGTCAAGTTGTTTGAAAAGCTGATAAGGGATTCAGTGGAGAACCACCTGAATAGATTCAAAATTCTCAGTGATGTGCAACATGGATTCCGCAAGGGATTTTCATGTCAGACTAATCTACTTGTAGCTCGTGAAAGGTGGGCCGAAGCGGTAGACAGTGGCCACGCTGTAGACGTGCTATTCGTAGATTTTTCGAAAGCCTTTGACACTGTTCCACATCTTCGGCTCTCACTAAAATTGAGATCTTACGGGATATCTGGTCGCGCCCTTCAATGGGTGTCTGCCTTCCTTGAGGGGTGGGAACAATGCGTACGGGTGGGGCGTAGCCTTTCGCTCAGGCAAGCTATCCTTAGTGGCGTTCCGCAGGGCTCGGTATAGGGGCCATTGTCGTTCGCGATCTATGTAAATGACTTGCCGGGAGAGCTTGGGGTGTCATCACTAATGTTTGCTGACGACCTTAAGATCTGTAATATTGTGGATATCCCGGGGGGCATGAGGCAATTCAGCATGCCTTAGATAGGCTCCGGGAATGGTCCATCTTATGGTTGAGGCCCATAAATAGGACCAAATGCTCTGTTCTCCGAACCGGAGCTACAAATCCTCCCACCCGATATGTTGTCGGCGGTGGTGCACTCCCTGTTGTCACTCAGCAGGTTGATTTAGGAGTCGTACACGCATCAGCACTTCATTCTGGAGACAACTGGAAGAAGGCTGCTTGTCGGGGGTTTCGCATGATGTGGTTTATCCGCCGCTTTTTCGGAATGTTAACGGCCAAGTTGTTTGTGAAGCTATTTTCGGCGTTCGTCCGACCCCACCTGGAGTAGTGTATTCAGGCTTGTCCACCATGTCTTAACCGAGACAAAATGGACTTGGAGACGGTGTTACGAGTGGGCACTCGGTTAGTGCAGGGTCTACGGGAACAGACGTATCCTGAACGCATGCTCAGTTTGGGGATGTACTCAATGCACTACCGAAGGATAAGAGGGACCTGATTCTTACTTATGGTATTTTGACGGGTAAGATTGGCCCGGACTTGTCAGGGCTATTTAGTCCCGCTACGTTACCTAATCTCCGTGGTCACCCACTGAAACTGCATAAACCACGGTCTGATAGGATTAGGACAGAAACGCACCTATCGCGCCGAGTTATAGATCGCTGGAATTCGCCTCCAGACCACTTGGTTAGGGAACCCACGGTTAAGGGTTTTGCGCGCCAGCTCGATGCTCTTGGGTGGCAACAGCAAACCTTTCCTTTTTCCTAGCCGACTCACCTTAACTTTTCAGTTCTTTTTTAATGACTCAAATATCTTGGTATTCTACTTGCTTAGCTCTTTCCACTTTCTCTTTTACCTTCTGAGTTTACTTTTTTTTCTTACTTCACGTAACCGACCCAGCAGGGACTGCTAAGGCAGGATACGTGGGCATTAATTTGTTGGGCAGGGTGTGATGCGATCTTTGTTTTAGGTCCATCAGTATTTCAAAATTCGCCAACTCCTGGTTCAACGACCCGCCGAAGAATGAACACTCACGGGATAATCCTATGGTTCCAGAACTGTTTGAACTTGAACTTGTACATATAATGAAGCCATCAGAAATATACACCATTCCTACAGTTATGAATAAAGTAGTACAATCTCATAATAGGTAAGCAGACAATACTAAAAATTAAAATATGTTTACGTTACATTAACTTGCTTATAAGTAGTAACTGCAGAGTTAACTTTCTCCAATGGTAGGTGGCATCGCACGCACTCACTCCTTATTTGCCCCAGCTCAAATGTGAATGTCCCGGTCCGTGCCCGTCAAGAATGAGGCATAAATGCCAGCCACTGTATTAAGCTGAATACAGGCAGTAATCCTATCTAATTCAGTATTGCTACATGGACGCTACTTTTAACGTTACTGTTTAGCCGCAGCTTATTTTTTATGCGTAGTTTTATAACGCTATTGTTTGTTGGCACTAGATGTACAGGTCACTGTTTTCGGAGGAACAAGAAGGCGCGCGCTTAATAACGTCGCTAGGTAACTTCGCGCATCTGTACAAAATGTTCTGCGTCTGTTACTTATACTGAGAGCAAGGATGAGTTTAACAACTGCTGTGCGCAACTCCACAGGTTTAGGTACAATGGCAAGCAATGCTGTCACACATGATTACGAAAAGCCGGAGTGCAAGTTTTGCAGTTCATGGAAGAAATACTTTTACAACAGGATTTTCATGATGGGTTTTATAACTGGTTGGTAATTTTCATTCGATGACACATTCTTACAGCTGTTGGATTAATAGCCCTATCAACGAGTTTAACTACCTACCTCAAGAAATCCTCTCAAAAGGTTGGATAGGCAAATAATTGGTGATTAGCATTGCAGATGTACCCACAATATCTAAAAAATAGGACTTTTAAGATTGATCCAGTTGATGCAGTATTTTTGAAGGATGGATATGAATTTCAATTTGTTTCCGGAAGCATACATTACTTTCGCATACCTCGCATGTACTGGATGGATAGGCTTTATAAAGCAAAATGTATGGGTTTGGACACCGTGCAGATGTAAGTTGCCTGTAGAAATATTAGTTGAAATAATAACTACTTCTGCGAACAACGCCATTTCTGTTTGCTATCCTTCTTCCTTAATTTACTTATTCGTACAAACGTTTCCACCATTTTAAGACAAATGGCTGTAGTATTAGACCAAAAAGCGTTTGTTGTTGAACAATTGCATCACAATGTTAAGTTCCCAGCTATGACTCCTTCTGACATAACTTATAATCTATCGTTACATCACCACTTACTTGGTTTGTAGTCGGCTTAAAAACAGCTGGCACAACTGGTCATTCCATCATTAGTATCTTTAATCACCAAGTGGTTTAGAACAAGCTGCATGAGTTGTGAGTTGTCAACAAGCAAGGTAATATCATCAAAATAGTTCAAGTCAGCCGAGTAATTGACTGAAAGAAGCTCTATGCTAGTACCCTGGAGACCTTCCAGAGCGCTTAATAAGACATCTCTAACCGCAAACTTGGAGAACATTCGGGACCTAAGGCGTCCCTGTTGTGAATTGTTAATGACGGCTAAAGATAAAGAGAGCTTGAGTTAAACTGCACTCTACCAGAGCCACTGTCGTATAATGCCCGAAGTCTGGATGTACACTTTTCGGAAACTTCATTCCTTTGCAAACAACGAGATCCAGCAGGTCGTTTGACAAAGTCGAACGCAGCTCGGATGTCTAAAAAGGCGACAATGGTTGACAGTCGATAAGGGTGGCACCGCTGAAAGAGTTGGCGCAGTGTAAACGTGTGGTCCACACCTCCCTCACCTGGGCTGAGACAAGATTGTTTCTCACGGGCGTGTAGTTAGTCTTTAGTGTTAGTCTTTGCAGTAGTATGTATGTTTGCACTTTGGTGGCAACGCACATTTGACTGATTCGTCTGTGGTTAACGCATGAGTTACGAGCACCCTTTGTAACGATGGGTACGATGATTTACTCGCTCCAAGAGGATGGAATATTTTCTGCATAACATGTTTACGAAAACAGAGTTGTTAAATGATTGACACTTGCCTCGTCACGGTACTTGAACAGCTTTGAAGGAAGTCGGTCGGAGCCAGAAGCTTTGCCTTGCTGTAAGTGACGAAGCTCAAGATAAGCCAGTTCGGTTGGTGGGTTCAGAGTAAAGTTCCAAGGCGCTCAAGTTGGCTTGCTTGTTTGACAGAAGGAAAGCCTAGACTAACTGATATGCTAGTGGAAGCACTCAGCCCAGCGATTCATGCGCCTATGCAAATTAGTGCTAGGTGATCCGTCAACTTAGTAAATAGCTTCGCTGAAGCCAAGTCTTCTGTAGCCAGTGGTCCGAAGGATAAGCACTTAAGAGCTGTGAACTTTATTGTGGTTTTGTAGCTTTTCACTCGCAATCAACGACAGTATTTCACTATCTAAATTACATTGTTCGTAGTCTAAGACAAATATAGATGTACTAATGCAAAATAGAAGAATTTGATGTGGGTTTATAAAATGTTTAGTGACGCCACGGATAATGTACATCCTACTGTGTATGCAGAGTAGCATATGTATGGAAAAGAAAATGCAAGAATTAAGTCGGTAAAACCGTTTAAGTAAAGCAGTTTACCATCCGATCCTAAGACAGTGTGAAGGAGTTCACCAATAAGTAAATTAGTTGTCTCGAAAGAAATGGTGACTAGTTGCTCTTTCACTATTTCAAATTTTGAAATTTCCAGCGTCCATGTATAGAGAAAAGTATTTGTCAACGTTTTGTCCACCTATAAAAAAGCTCATTTTTGTGACCCAAGAGATAATGAGCTGTAATCGTAACCGGGGGATTATATGGGCACAAAAGAATAACGGAGTAACTGTTTTAGTATCAGACAATATTATTATTAACGTACAGTTGCTTCAGCTAACCAGAAGCAAGCACACGCCTAGTCCAATGAAGGTTAACAATTAGCTAGTTTGACGACAAACAAATGACAGTTGAATCGACATAGCCTACTGAACCGCAAAGCATTTGGACATGACAGGTACCTAAGTAGCATATCATGTTGAGATTGTTGAGTATGGAGCAGTTGATAGCAACTACTCATTCGCTATTGATACCCGTTTTTGGATCTATTGCTGGTAATCGAGATTCAAATACCCACTGAAGTAAACAAGTGGACTTGCTTTGGCCCTGACTGCTATTTCGACTGGCAGCTTCCAATTTGTGAGTGCTCACGGAAGTTGGATAACGACATGGTCTAGCACAAACCGCGGTGTTCTACCGCAGAAACCAAGTGTTGCAATTTGGTTGAAAACCGCCGACCGACCACTGGGTCACATATCCTCTACAACTGACTACAGATAAACTAGTCCGTAATCTCTCTGGTGAGGGCGGGAGCAGCCTTACCACACGCAGTGGTCAAACGATACGGTAAATGGTATTCAGGCTACGATAACGCTGTCAACACTATCACCTCTAGCACGACTGTAGCATTTTAGACATGCTAAACATCATTTCTGAGTTTGGCACAGTTGGAGGGTCTGCCTTAGGAAGCTGCTTGTTATAGCGCTCCATTCACTAAAAATTGATCGCGGTCTGTTGGATCGTTTATATTCATATGTTAGATATCCTATATTGTAGGGTGGACGATCTATGCTCGTTAATGCTACTGGGCACGCAAGAGTCGACTGACTCAATCATATTCACGATGATAATCCTGATTCCTTCCCACCGTCGTGATATACGGAGCGCCGATGCTTTGCTTCTCACTGAATTTACCTAAATTTTAGAATAGGTGTACTAGAATGACGCTATTCAAGCCAGAAAATGTGTTTAACTCATAGTGGCAAGAAAAAACTGCATCCCATTTAGTCAAAAATTAATGACATGTAGGAAATAATAATAACGCTTTCTTCGCAAGCATTACCTTGGCAGAAGTATTATGTAAATGCGTATATGCTTTATAGAAGTCAAACTGATGAGCGCCTGCTAATAAGGAGCAGTGTGGGAGACAGCGAGACCTAAAATATAGCAAACGGTAACATGGTACGTGTATCTGATCTGTTCCGAACACAAATTCAACACAGTTTCACGTTTTACCCAGGATCAAACCGCGTGCACTTTCCCATGTCCCTAACGTAACACAAGCTCATATGTCCCACAAAGCAGTTCAGTTAAGTGTTACGCAACTAAGTTGTAGCACGGGCTTTGTGGTATTTTTAACAAATTCGGTGGTCATTAAACAGAGCATTATTCCTGTCGTGCATACAGGCATCAAATCGCACTGGTCGATCACCATGTACCAGTTGACAGCAAGTCATTTCTGCACAACTGCAGAAGGTCACGTAGCAGCTAGCACAATACAAAGACCTGATAAAAGAAGACTGCATTACTTTTGTAACGGCAACGCTCTATTCCCGAAGACTAAAACGTGTCTACCAAAATATAGTATCTCTGCTTGCACCACAAAGCAAATCAAGGGGACCCACTTGAGGATAATATTATTACCGTATCACTAACGTTAGCTAACCTTACTTATATATTTACAAGTCCTTTTACATGAAAATGTATTCTGGGTTACCTATGGTTTACCGAAAGTTGCCGTCTTGTTTTACATCTGACGACTAACTTCCCCGTTTGTCCAGTTCGAACACATGATTTACTGTGTCTTAAAAGATGCAACTAGATAACTTGGCTAAACGGTTCTAACAATCGTTCGTTTCTACTGCGCTCAAAAGACATATCAGCGTAATATGTTGACCTACTTGCCGCAATACTTGGTTTGGCGCTGATTAAAAGCCATTGACAGTTGTTGCTAAACAAATCACGTAAACCAAGTCATTTGGTTGCGTTAAGTACCGGACTACTTCACCGTACTCTAACGAGAGGGGAAGATTAATCTGTTATAACGGTCCGATGGTTCCCGCATTTACTTGAGGTCTGCTGCTAATATGTTATTGAGTAGGTAGTTGTATCATGGGCCCAGCAAATTGAAGGTTTTCATTGAGTTCTCCTACATGTCGTTGGTTAAATAGCTTAGCCCCATTCGCGCCATTCATAACTTCAAATCGCACTAGCCTTTTCCTACGTAGCTGTCCGTTTGAATAGAACCGCTTGACTAGTCTGGTGCACTGGTGTTGTCCTAACCTTAAATTAGACATCCTGAGGACAGGCTATCTTGATAAACTATCATACTCATACCGTTAGTGGTTCTAATTTACCATCATCGTTGTATAGGTTGCTCACCTTTGTGTTGCGTTATCTAGATAACTCTAATCCTCGTCACCACACACTGTCAGCCAACTCAGTACATTGTTATAGCTTAAGTGACAACCCTTTACTTCGATACTTACCTGACCGTGGTAAAGCTAAACTCTCAGAGATCACTTCTAATCATAGCATTGAACATCATCATATCTGTGGATTGCAGTGTTATTTATAAACAAATCATCGGTGAATTAGTGAAGGTATCACCGCCTCAGCTTAAAAGTGTAAAAGTCGCAAGTAATTGTACTCTTAGCTGTGTCAGTTCTCACCGCCTTGTAAGATGAAGGTTCTACCAATTGGTTCAACAAAATAAAACTCATCATCATCAGTACACGTTAGCCGAGGGTAAGAGAAAAGGGTAAGCTGATGTGCCGCGATAAAAAGGATAAAAGATTAAACTATGCAGACTAAAAAGCTGTAACAAGTATCATAAGGCTAAAAAGCACATTATGCTTATGGCTTAAGATCGTTTTTGGAGGGGACAGCTAAAGCGGTGGGGCAGGACAAGAATACTCACAACACAGACGCCACTGAGTTCGTGTCTTCGCCATGTCAGCCTATGTTTCTAACCATACGCATTTAGCATCCTTTGGTCCACTGCCCAGCAGTCGAAAAACACCAACCAGCGCCAACTTTGAGGTGAGGGACTTCATTCCTCTCGACCAAGCAATCGCTTGGCCTCCTCTTCTCTACCATCTAGACCCCGGGGACGCAAACAACGCATGGTGCGGGAGTCGGTGCGCTGGTATGCGTAACACGTAGCCTAGCCATCAGGACTTGCTTCGTGCTATA